ACTAAATCCCCAGTCTCTGGAATCGCTGAAAATCCAGGCACGGGCTGGCAGCACTTGGGCCCAGTGCCAGCACTTCTTTGGATAGCTCCCAGGTGCCAGGGCATACTGTTGAGCTTTGTCGAACCAGCCTTTTATATGCCTGTTCCAGCTCCCATTCCTCAATGGCTAGAAACTCCATATCTTCTTGTGCCGAGATGTTCAGCATCTGGTCTCTGTAATCCATGAGTTCCTCCCAACGCCATTCCAGATCACTCCCAAAGTCAGGGTCCTTTGACAGCCTCCAGTACAACAGCCCCAAGCTGTAATAGCCAAATCCTTCTGCCAGGCTGCTGTCTGCTGTCCAAGGGCACACTTGGACTACATGCCAGCGGAGGGCTCTGCAGCATTCGTCTAGCCGCATCTCCACCAGAACTAGCCTGCTTAATTCAGCTGTCCACTTTTTGTGTGGTTGTTCCCCCAATAACAGCACCCGCACTTCATACTGCAACCAGTAACTTTCCTGGATGGAGAGGAGAATTATTCCTTGGTGGCACTGCTCTCCGACTAGTGCTTCCTTCCAGAGTTGCCAGCGGACATAGTCATACCATCCCAGCAGGACCTGCACTAGTACTGGTGCTCTGTGCTGCACTTTCATCAAATGCACTCTCCTTACAAATTCCTCTTCCATGGTGGCTGGTGTTTCTACCTCTCCTATTCTACTAACCGGACCTCAGATCCTGGTGGTGGTTTGGACTTCCCAGACTGCACCAAATGTGACACAATGCCTGGCACCCAGCTTGTGCCTTCCGTCAGAGAACCGCTTCCTCGCCACTGGGACACAGGACCCAAGACTAGGCAACACTAGCGTGCTGCAAACTGGAACTACTTTATTGAACAGAAACACAGCTTTTTATACACTCAGAAATAGGGGCAGACCCCCCACATGAACAATAAAACAAATATTACATCCCACACTGATTAAATAATGAGGTGAAGCTGTCAGGAATCCCGGGGTCCGCCACGGCGCACGGCCTGCGCACGCGCAGATTACCTAGGAGCAGCAACATGCGGGCGCTAGGACCTAGGTGCCCTCGGCAGCAATCGCTGCCCTGGCCTGTCTGATTACGCTACACCTCTTCACATCTGGCTCTCACCTCCTACTTGCCATTGGTGGCTACCTCTACCACAGCTGCTTGTACTCGGGAGCCGCGACCTGGTCTCAGGCTGCTTCAAATCCATCCCCACCATCAGGGGCTCTGGTGAAACAGCAGACTTTGGCTGAGGGGAATTTCAGGGCCTTCCAGAATTCCTGCCTGTTATAATTTGACCTACAGCCACGGACTTTTTCTTCAGAATCTGTAAAGGTGGGGTTCATTATATCCTTACTGCAGGGGGAACCCCAAGGCTGGGCCCACCGTCTGCTGGAAGGTCGCCATTCGCATCTAGACTCAGTTTCCTAATTTTTTAAGGCGATGGCGCAATTATATGATGAGCCGCTTCTGCTGAGGCGGCTCTGCATACCCTGCAACAAGGCCGCCGGGCAGCATAGGATTATGCATCCGAATTCAGGTGCTGGAGCGGGGACACCCAGTGGAACGATGCAGCCCTGTGTCACCAATTTTGTCTAGGCCTGTCCGACCCACTCAAGGACAAGCTAGCCAGAATGGGCGTACCCGAATCTCTGGAACATCTGATCACCTTGGCTATTCAAATCGACTGCAGGCTGCGGGAACGTAGACAAGAAAGGTCCAATCCTAGTCCCAGACCAACATGGGTGCTACCTTGGGTCCCGCTCCAGCCTAGCTCTCCAGTTGGTAATCGAAGTCCGGAGCCGTCCTATGCCTATACTGTGGAGCGGCTAGTCATATGGTGCACTCTTGCCCTGAGAAAATGAGTAAGTGTGCCTCTGTCGCTTCGGCTGTGTCTCCTACTTGCCTGAATAACGCAACTCACCTAGCTGTGCCTATCTCTTTCCAGCTCCCCGGAAGAACTGTCCCAGTAAGGCCATTATTGATTCGGGAGCATGCAGTTGCTTTATAGATCTTGGCTTTGCAGCTCATCAGCAGATTCCCTTACAGACTAAAGAGCAAGGCTTTAATATCTTCTTGGCCGATGGGTCTCGGATAAAATCTGGGTTGGTGGACCGAGAGACCCCCCGATCTGCACCACAGTGATTGGTCATCATCAGGAGCTCCTCCGTTTGGACGCCATCGCGTCCCCACTCTTCCCAGTTATTTTGGGGCTTCCCTGGTTACGAGCCCATGACCCTCGCATTAACTGGACAACTGGGTCAGTTCAGTTCATCTTATTGCCAAGAGCACTGTTGCCTCAGGACACCGGTAGCCACCCAGACCCTATGCTGTGTGAACACAGATGAAGAGTTAGCTCAAACAATTCCTTCGGCCTACCATCCTTACATTGACGTATTTAGCCCACGGGGAGCAGACATCCTTCCCCCGCATCGGGCATATGACTGTCCAACTGATCTTCTTCCAGGGTCTGAGATCCCTTTCAGATGAATTTTTCCCTTGTCAGAGCGGGAGTTGGGAGTATTGAAGGAATACATAGACGAGAGCGCCAAAAAAAGGGATTCTTCCGCCCTTCCACGTCACCGGCTGGAGCCGGAATCTTTTTCGTATAAAAGATAGACAAGTCCCTGAGACCCTGTGTTGACTATCGGGAGCTGAACAAAATTACAGTTAAAAACCGCTATCCTCTTCCCCTAGTCCCTAAATTATTCCAGAGATTGAAGGCGGCATCCATTTTTACCAAGTTGGATCTCAGAGGCGCTTATAACTTGGTCCGTATACGCGAAGGGGATGAGTGGAAGACAGCTTTCCGCACCCGGTTCGGGCACTTCGAGTACCTGGTTATGCCATTCGGGTTGTGTAATGCACCGGCCACCTTTCAGCACTTTATCAATGACATTTTCAAAGATTATCTGGACATCTTTGTTGTGGTCTATCTTGACGATATTCTGATTTTTTTCTCCATCCTTGGAGGCACATCGAGGTCACGTCAGGAGCGACTTCGCCAGCACGGGCTGTATGCCAAGGCAGAGAAGTGCAGCTTCAAACAGCACAGCATCCAGTTCCTGGGGCTAATCATTTCCACCACAGGAATTGCCATGGATCCTCAGAAAATTTCCGCAATTCTGGAATGGCCAGTACCCGCAGATAAAAATTGTGTTCAGCGATTTATTGGCTTTGCAAACTTTTATTGAAAGTTCATCAAGAATTTCTCAGGCCTGGTATCTCCCATCACCCAACTTACAAAACTGGGGGTACGTTTTCATTGGACATCAGAGGCGCAGATTGCTTTTGAGATCCTGAAGAAGCTGTTTACGGCAGCCCCCATTTTAAGTCACCCGGATGCATCCCTGCCATACATATTGGAAGTAGACGTGTCCGAGAACGCAGTGGGAGCAGTCCTTTCGCAAAGAAAAGGCGTAAAACAACTCATGCTGTCAGGGCTCCCAGGTGTGACCAGAGGTGTGTGACTGAAGCAGGGAAACGCAGACTTCAGATATGTGATTAACAATGTAATTTATTAACACTAACAATACAAACATAAACGCAGTGCAATACTAAACATAATACAGTGCAAACAAACCCAACCAACCACCCACAGATAACAGTACATACAAGCAAGCGTCGTCAGGCAGGCCGAGTCAATATCAATTGGGCAGGTAGGTACAGGGGGAGCAAGCGGAGAATGGTCGGGGTCACAGGCCAGGTTCAGCAGGTAGCAAGCAGCGTAGTACAGAGGGTCAGGCAGAGGGATGGTCAGGGTCACAAGCCAGGGATCAGAACAGGTAGCAAAGGAACAGAAACAGGATGCAGGACAGATACAGGGCCCAGGACAAACACAACACCAAGGCAGAGTCTGCAAGTCTGGCCATCCCTTAAATACACCAGTATCATCAGTTCCAGGTGTTAGCTGGCTGAAAGGTTGAGTCTCTGATTGCTGGGAGCACCCGCTGGCCAGCCCTGGTACTGCAGATCAAAAGGCAGGTGAGTCCCACCATTGCTGGCCAGTCCATTCCTGACAGTACCCCCCCCCTCAAGGAGCGGCCTCAGGATGCTCCAAACAGTCCTAGCTGGGAAAAATGTTCCACCGCCCGGGTCTGGTAACTGGCGGGATATCAAAGACTGGCACACCGGGCAGGACTCCGGGCAGCGGTACACCGGGCAGAGGCACATCGGGCTGGACTCCGGGCAGAGGCACATCGGGCTGGACTCCGGGCAGAGGCACACCGGGCAGAGGCACACCGGGCAGAGCCACACCGGGCAGAGGCACATCGGGCTGGACTCCGGGCAGAGGCACATCGGGCTGGACTCCGGGCAGAGGCACATCGGGCTGGACTCCGGGCAGGGCACATCGGGCTGGACTCCGGGCGGAGGCACATCGGGCTGGACTCCGGGCAGAGGCACATCGGGCTGGACTCCGGGCAGAGGCACATCGGGCTGGACTCCGGGCAGAGGCACACCGGGCAGAGGCACATCGGGCTGGACTCCGGGCAGAGGCACATCGGGCAGGACTCCGGGCAGAGGCACATCGGGCAGGACTCCGGGCAGAGGCACATCGGGCAGGACCCCGGGCAGAGGCACATCGGGCTACCAGGCGAAGCGACAGGCAGCGGGCCACCGGGCGGAGCGGCAGGCACCGGGCCCCCGGGCGGGGCGGCAGGCACCGGGCCCCCGGGCGGGGCATCAGGCCTCGGGCCCCCCCCGGGCGGGGCGACAGGCCTCGGGCCCCCGGGCGGGGCGACAGGCCTCGGGCCCCCGGCGGGGCGACAGGCCTCGGGCCCCCCGGGCGGGGCGACAGGCATCGGGCCCCCAGGCGGAACTACAGGTCTCGGGCCCTCAGGCGGAGCGGCGGGTGCCGGACCCCCAGATGGAGCGACAGGCCTCGGGCCCCCAGGCGGGGCGACAGGCATCGGACCCCCAGGCGGGGCGACAGGCATCGGACCCCCAGGCGGGGCGACAGGCATCGGGCCCCCAGGCGGGGCGACAGGCATCGGGCCCCCAGGCGGGGCGACAGGCATCGGGCCCCCAGGCGGGGCGACAGGCATCGGGCCCCCAGGCGGGGCGGCAGGCGCCGGACCCCCAGGCGGAACTACAGGCCTCGGGCCCTCAGGCGGAGCGGCGGGCGCCGGACCCCCGGGTGGAGCGACAGGTCTCGTGCCCTCAGGCGGAGCGGCGGGCGCCGGACCCCCAGGTGGAGCGACAGGCATCGGGCCCCCAGGCGGGGCGACAGGCATCGGGCCCCCAGGCGGGGCGACAGGCATCGGGCCCCCAGGCGGGGCGACAGGCATCGGGCCCCCAGGTGGAGCGACAGGCATCGGGCCCTCAGGCGGAGCGGCGGGCGCCGGACCCCCAGGTGGAGCGGCGGGCGCCGGACCCCCAGGTGGAGCGACAGGTCTCGGGCCCTCAGGCGGAGCGGCGGGCGCCGGACCCCCAGGTGGAGCGACAGGCATCGGGCCCCCAGGCGGGGCGACAGGCATCGGGCCCCCAGGCGGGGCGACAGGCATCGGGCCCCCAGGCGGGGCGACAGGCATCGGGCCCCCAGGCGGAGCGACAGGTCTCGGGCCCCCAGGCGGAGCAGCGGGCACCGAGTCACCAGGCACGACAGTGGGCTCCGAGTCAACTGGCATGACCGCTGGCACTAGGTCAGACATTGGATCGTCTGGCTGGACAGCGGGCATCGGGTCACCAGGCATCAGGTCATTTGGCTCGACAGCGGGCACCGTGTCATCTGGCAAGGCAGTGGGCTCCGAGTCAACTGGTATGACCGCGGGCACTGGGTCAGACATTGGATCGTCTGACTGGACAGCGGGCATCGGGTCACCAGGCATCAAGTCATTTGGCTTGACAGCGAGCACCGCGTCATCTGGCAAGGCAGTGGGTTCCGAGTCAACTGGCATGACCGCGGGCACTGGGGCAGACATTGAATCGTCTGGCTGGACAGCGGGCATCGGGTCACCAGGCATCAGGTCATTTGGCTCGACAGCGGGCACCGCGTCATCTGGCAAGGCAGTGGGCTCCGAGTCAACAGGCACGACAGTGGGCACCGGGTCATCAGGTACCGGATTGTCTGGCTCGACAGCAGGCATCGGGTCACCAGGTATGACAGCGGGCACTGGGTCACCAGGCATCAGGTCATTTGGCTTGCCAGCGGGCACCGCGTCATCTGGCAAGGCAGTGGGCACCGGGTCACCAGGCATTGGATCGTCCGGCTCGACAGCAGGGCATCGGGTCACCAGGTATGACAGCGGGCACTGGGTCACCAGGCATCAGGTCATTTGGCTCGCCAGCGGGCACCGCGTCATCTGGCAAGGCAGTGGGCACCGAGTCACCAGGTACGACAGCGGGCTCTGAGTCAATTGGCACGACAGCGGGCACCGGATCAGGTACCGGATCATCTGGATCAACAGCGGGCATCGAGTCAACTGGCCTAATAGGATCGTCAGGCTGGATCAGTTCATCATGCTGGGTAGAGGCATCAGGCTGAATGCCGGCGTCCGGCTGAGTAGAGGCTTCAGGCCGAGTAGAGGCTTCAGGCCGAGTAGAGGCATCAGGCCGAGTAGAGGCATCAGGCCGAGTAGAGGCTTCAGGCCGAGTAGAGGCATCAGGCCGAGTAGAGGCATCAGGCCGAGTAGAGGCATCAGGCCGAGTAGAGGCTTCCGAGTAGAGGCATCAGGCCGAGTAGAGGCTTCAGGCCGAGTAGAGGCTTCAGGCCGAGTAGAGGCTTCAGGCCGAGTAGAGGCTTCAGGCCGAGTAGAGGCTTCAGGCCGAGTAGAGGCTTCAGGCCGAGTAGAGGCTTCAGGCCGAGTAGAGGCATCAGGCCGAAGAGAGGCATCAGGCCGAAAGAGAGGCATCAGGCCGAAGAGAGGCATCAGGCTGCGTACCGGCATCAGGCTGCGTACAGGCATCAGGCTGCGTACAGGCATCAGGCCGCGTACAGGCATCAGGCCGAGTACAGGCATCAGGCCGAGTAGAGTAGAGGCTTCAGGCCGAGTAGAGGCTTCAGGCTGAGTAGAGGCTTCAGGCTGAGTAGAGGGTTCAGGGCTGAGTAGAGGCTTCAGGCTGAGTCACGGAAGGCAGGTTCACCGGTTTGGATACTGGCAGGATGGTATTGGTTGGAAAGAATTTTCGCTTTTTTCTGGTTTTAACTACTGGAGCACTGCAAGTAAACGCAGGTCTGCAAACGAATGGAGCAGCTGGAGACAGAGAAGAACTGGAGGATGGAACAGGAGAGGGAGCAGTTGCTACAGAGGGCTTTTTTACAGGGTTAAAGGCAGGATAGGTGCAGCGAGTGGGAACAGGGTACTGACATGGGGTAGATAGCCAAGTATACTGGGCTGTAACTGGAGGAGCTGTTGGGAATACAGGAGTAGAGTTAGAAGCAGGACTGGGGTTTTTGTAGGCTGACTGAGGCTGGGTGCAACAAGTCTGTCCATGTCTGCAGTAGGGGTTGAACAAAGCTGAGCTTACACAAAGCCTGTCTGGTCAATGACTGCACTGCGTTTATACAATCTCTTAGTGTCTGTGGTGAACATGTGGCATAACGCTCCAGAAAGTAACCCACATCATCCTCTAATAACCACACCAGGGACTCTACCTGGTCTGCACTAAATGGTGGCAAAAATTCATCCCTCCATTCGGGGGGTACCAGATGAAACCAACTCTGCACAAACCTCAATCAGAGGCTGCACCTCAGAGAACTCTGTGCCCTGATCTACTAGAACATGAGCGAGCCGTATACATTCTAGCAGTTCATCCCGGGGATACTCCTTCAGAGTTTGATAAGCATACTCCCTGTCATCAAACACTAGCAGATATAAATACGCAACCTCATCCAGATCCATCCTTCCCATCAACAAGCCAAGATGGCTTCCCTGTGCAGCCACTTCTGGTCAGGATTGGCCTTGGTGTAATGTCAGGGCTCCCAGGTGTGACCAGAGGTGTGTGACTGAAGCAGGGAAACGCAGACTTCAGATATGTGATTAACAATGTAATTTATTAACACTAACAATACAAACATAAACGCAGTGCAATACTAAACATAATACAGTGCAAACAAACCCAACCAACCACCCACAGATAACAGTACATACAAGCAAGCGTCGTCAGGCAGGCCGAGTCAATATCAATTGGGCAGGTAGGTACAGGGGGAGCAAGCGGAGAATGGTCGGGGTCACAGGCCAGGTTCAGCAGGTAGCAAGCAGCGTAGTACAGAGGGTCAGGCAGAGGGATGGTCAGGGTCACAAGCCAGGGATCAGAACAGGTAGCAAAGGAACAGAAACAGGATGCAGGACAGATACAGGGCCCAGGACAAACACAACACCAAGGCAGAGTCTGCAAGTCTGGCCATCCCTTAAATACACCAGTATCATCAGTTCCAGGTGTTAGCTGGCTGAAAGGTTGAGTCTCTGATTGCTGGGAGCACCCGCTGGCCAGCCCTGGTACTGCAGATCAAAAGGCAGGTGAGTCCCACCATTGCTGGCCAGTCCATTCCTGACACATGCATCCAGTAGCCTTCTTTTCTAGGAAGCTCACTGCGGCGGAGAGGAACTATGACATTGGGGACCGGGAGCTTTTGGCAATCAAGACAGCACTGGAGGAGTGGAGATACTTATTGGAAGGGGCCCTACAATTTTGGTCTACACAGACCACAAGAACTCGGTTCCGGCGGCTCAAGATACCTTAGATTTCTTCGTATCTAACAACAAATTGTTACAGGAGGCAGTGACAAAGGCCCAGGAGGATAACAAGAGAGCCTTTGATAGGAGGAGGAGAGGGGGGAATTGGTCATGCACCCAGGGGATCAGGTTTGGTTGGTAACAACAAACCTGAGGATGTGTCAGGAATGGACTCAGCACTGGTGGTGGTGGGACTCACCTGCCGTGTGGGCTGCAGTACCAGAGCTGACCAGCGGGTGCTCTCAGCAGCCAGAAGCTCACTTCCGCAATCAGCCAAACCTGGGGCTGATTGCAGAAAGGTGTATTTAAGGCATGACCAGGCCTGTGATCGGGGCCGTGGTGTATGTTTTCCCATGAGCCTCTGTACCTGGTATCCTGTGTTCCTGCTTTGTTGCTGACCCGGCTTGATCCTGACCTCTGCTGACCGTCTCCTGTTGAACCCCTGGCTTGCCTGACCATCCTTCTGCCTGATCCCCTGTACCGCGCTGCCCGTGAGTTACTGAACCCGGCTTGTGACCCTGACCATTCTCTGCCTGCTCCTTTGGTACCTTGCTGCCCGCACGTTGCTGACTTGGCCCGTCTGACCACGCTAACTACTCTGCCATCCATCCATCCTGCACGGATCCAGCCGTACCTGCACATACCTCTGGCGGATCCCTCTACCACTAGCAGGTGTACTCAGGGGCCGCGACCTGGTTCCTGTCTGCTCCAAGTCCATCCCCACCATCAGGGGCCCTGGTGAATAAGCAGACTGGGACTTAGACTCCGCGCCCTGGGGAATCCTGTCCTGGGGGACCACTAGAGGTACCACCAAACGGTCATTACAGAACCCTACGGCCGGCCTGACCGTTCCACCTCTCCAGCCCTGACTACGCCTGTGTTCCTGCACCTCCTAAGATTAGTGGAAGGTTGGTTTGCTCACTGTGCGTTTATATATATCTGGGTGGCTAATAATAAACTGTATTATACTGTACCTGAGACCTGCGTTTCCCTGTGTCAGTCCACACCTTTCTGGTCATTCCTAGATTCCTGACAGGATGGCATGCCCATCAAGAAAATTGGCACCTACATTTGTGGGCCCATTCCAGGTGAAACAGCAGATCAATGAAGTGGCCTTCGAATTAGCGCTCCCCGAATCTTTCAGGATACACCCAGTGTTCCATGAATCCCTGCTGAAGCCTGCAATTCCAGATCCCTTCCCGGACCGTAGATCAAGACCTCCGGTAGCCCTAGACATTGATGGAGAAGAGGAGTTTGAAGTCGAAGCAATCTTAGATTGCAGGAAGAGAGGAGGCCGGATGCAATACCTCATCAAATGGAAAGGCTATGGCCAGAGGAAAATTCATGGGAACCAGCCCAAAACGTACACACTCCCAGGTTGGTGCAAGAATTTCTCCGCAGCCACCCACAAAGGAGGAATCAATTGGGCATCCAGAGGCTGTCCGTAGGGAGGGGGGCAATGTCAGGAATCCCGGGGTCCGCCGCGGCGCATGGGACTGCGCACGCGCAATTACCTAGGCGCAGCAACATGCGGGTGCTAGGACCTAGGCGCCCGCGGCAGCAATCGTGGCCGCGCATCAATGACAGCACCAATGACAGCGCAGGGTGCACTATTTAAATGGACCCTGGCAATGTTCACATTGCCATTTGGTCTTATTCCTGCTGTACCTGTTCCTAGTTCCTGAGATTGTCTTTGTTGCCGAACCTGCCTGACCCGGATTGCCGTGACCTTCTCCTGCCCTGATCCCTGGCTTGTCTGACCATTCTTCTGTCTTCTCCTGTTGCTGAACCTGGCCTGTGACCCGTTTATCCTTTTGCCTGCCGCTCTGTACCGTCTGCCTCCGCTGTTACCGACCTGGCCTGTCTGATTACGCTACACCTTTTCACATCTGGCTCTCACCTGCTACTTGCCATTGGTGGCTACCTCTACCACAGCTGCTTGTACTCGGGGGCCACAACCTGGTCTCAGGCTGCTTCTAGTCCATCCCCACCATCAGGGGCTCTGGTGAAACAACAGACTGAGGCTTAGACTCCGCGCCCTGGGGAATTCCAGCCTGTGGGTCGCTAGAGGCTACTGCCAGTCGGCTCCTGACAGAGGCTGACATCAGTCTAATCTCATCATGTAGGAGCCTCTAAGAGGACTTGTCAACAGGCCCACAATAGGTGACTCAATTAACATTGGTAATGAACACTCAGGAGGCACACATTGGGAGAAGATAGTAAACATATAACACCTTAATAAACACATTAGAGCAAGAGTCCTCACATAAGGTCATTTTGGTAATTACATCAACACCTTCTTAGAGTCTCTGAGACTAGGAAGGAGGGAGGTTGAAGAAGTCAATGCTAGTTTGGGCACAGAGACCCCAAATCTGTATTTTGGTCCTCCAGTTCTCAGCGTCTGTATGTTTTGGGGAGACATGAACTTGAATCCCAAGTAAACTACCCCAAAGGCCCCCCCCCCCAAGGCATTAAAGAATAGAGCCCACTCAGATGCCAGGTCCATGGTTAGTAGGCAAGAGGCTAGCCTGCAATCCCCCCCCCCCAAAAGCCCATGTCCTGGTTGGGTCTGTCACATTATCTTTGTGTAATATTAAAATTTGTTTAAGGATCTGAATCATTTAGGTGTGACAAATATGCAAAAAAAAAAAAAATCAGCAAAGGGGCAAATACTTCTTCACAGCACTGTACACTGCTTCTTCAGTTCTGCGGGATGTAAATTCTCTAATTCGGTAGGTCCTTCCAGTTGC